GGTGTATCAGGTTTAAATAGTAGTTTAAGTTGTCAAAAACAAAATTGCTGAAAATATCTGAATATTGTGAAAACCAGTGAGTCAAATGCCCATAGCAGCATGTATGTAGCATAGGCCTTTCCAAGCTTTTGATGAGCCCTAAGTGACCACAAAAATTTATGTCACATAACTGCTTTAATTTTATCCGGGAATTGAACAATTGTTCAAACTGGTGACAGATTTAGGCCAATGAGGAATTTCAGGATAATTATTATTATAGTTATGGTAAGTACTAAACCAAAAGCGATCATGTAGCACCTAGGGAATGGGAGGTAATTAGGTTTAATTCTAGGAAGGGGAGGATAACCCCAATTCCTTGAATCAAAAGCCCTTCACCAACATCAAGGTGTACCTTCCCCATCTTGAAGGCCATTTAAGGACAAGTATGGGTTCATGTGTGATATTAAGTCTTTGGGAAAAATGAATAGCAATGACCTTGAAAAGGGATGCAATCATATATCTTTACACCTAAAGGGAGAGATGTAACAAACTAAATAAGATTTTTTTTACAGTACAGTATATAGACAACTTTAAGGAAAATGCACAGCACTGGCAGCCCTTCAATATATTTATAAATCTGACATTCAAGATATTTACCCCAATTTATGTGCAGGACTTGGCATTATTCTCACTGTACCTGTAAAAGTAGTATCTAATAAAAGGTCATTTTCAAAATTAAACTAAAAAAAAAATCTGAGCTCTATGTCATAAGAATGCTTTATTGGCATTAAAAACTTTCTTCTCTCTTAAGGTTATGAATATTATCAAAATATTAAAGATTAAAGAGGAAAGACTCCAACTAATTATACAGCAAAAGTCTACCACTCTTCCTTTGTTTCTGATATATTTCAAGGAAATTATTATTCCTTTTCTAATACAAATGATAAAATATGATAAAACATCCAGCCTTATGTTGTCATTTCTGCCTACCTAGCTGCCAACACTCCTCTTTCCATCTGCAGTTTAGTTACCTACTTGTAAGTACCCAACTGAGTTTGCAGGGAAATGGGGAAGAGCGCCAGCTCCTGGTCCTGCCTTTTAACTCTCAGCTAACTGATGTGATTAAACCATGTCATAGACAGTATATTTTGAATCCTGTGAGGTGCTAATGAGTGCGTATCATTCCACGCAAGGAATGGTGGAAGCTTAAGCCCCCCCATCTGCTGAACAGGAGACAGACATGCTGCATAGCTTTACAGGTTTCCCCTCGCTTTATGCAAATTTGCTTCTATACAGTGGCTCATTTCTATCAGTTAATTCACTGAATGTGGTATGTGATGACACATGCCCAGCACTACTTGATTTTTAACAATATTTCTTTTAAATCTCACTCAAAACAGGTTTATATTGAAATTTCTAAGGAAATATGAGAAAGAAAACAGATTTGGATGTGGGAAATCCCATGAGCATTCCCTTGAGTCATGCATGAAGACAAAAGAAAATGAACACACTCCTTAGCTGCTGCAGACGTGAAGTCAGGACCAGGGGTGGAGGGAGAAAAAGTAGGGCTGTATATCTTCACTGGTTAATCATGTGTACACTTCATTCCAGACAAACACAAGCTGACTGGTTGTTGGTGAAGAAAGAAGGGAGGGTAAAACAAAAGTACTGTAGATTAACATCAATTTTTTTTTTCACCAAATTCATTTCTTTTTGGTATGTGTTTTGATGCTTAAATGGCATGCTCTGGCACTGTGTTAACTGGATAGGGAAAAACAACATGAAAGAATTTTAGATTCTATTTTTTTCTTAGATGTTACTGGACAAATTAATTTCTTTTTGGTACAGTAGACCCTCATATTACATGGTAGTTACATTCCTGAAAATGCTGTGTTAGATAAATCTGTTATATAAACTTCAGAACTTATGGGGAAAATAGGTTACGTTTCTGGGACCCCCAAACGCCAAACAACTTTTTTTTAGACGTACAGATAGTACACTTGAATGACTTCATAACTCCCCAATCCAGTGGTTGTAATGAAGAAGTTGTATTTGGAGGTAAAAATACAACTTTTATATGTGGGGTCATATCCAGCAAAGCTTCTGGATGAGTACGGGAATAATAAAAAATGAAGAGAGACTTGAATGCAAGGTTCTTGCTGTGCAGGTAAAACTTGACTTCAGGACTAAAGTGATGCTTAAACCAGTCAATAAATATTTCCTCTGCCATCCATCCTGACTGATTTGACGTCCAAATTACTGGTAGGGTGTTTTTATCTACACCTTTCAAAGTATGAGGATTCTTAGAGTGGTAAATAACCATGGGCTTACACTTGAAATCCCGATGCATTACCGAAAGGAGCAAGGTGAAGCATTCCTTTGCTGCCTTGAAACCTGGTGCAGTCCCGTGGAGACAGTGGTCTCACCCACAGCTAGGCGGCAGCCTGAGCTAGGGAAATATCCTCTGGGCAACGCTCCAAATTTTTTCCCTCCCACAAATGGAAACAAGTTAATTTTAAGAAATGTTGCATAAAATTATGCTGCAATTTTTCAATACGTAGTGTAATAACCAAAACGTGCCAAATAACTCCAAGTAATATAAGGGTCTACTGTATATGGTCATTTGGTACCTATGTAATATACTCAGAGATTTCTGGTATAACAAGTCCAGAAATGTAAATTTTTGCAATGTTGACTCTGTGTTAATTGTACAGGAGGGCCCTGCTTATACACCAAGTTAGGGTCCAGGCTGCTGCCATAAAATGAAAATTGCCATAAAGTGAATCACCCTTTAATTCACCTTTAAATGTATATAAATGACTAATAACATGTTTACACTATCATATTAAGTTAGCAATAGAACTAGGCATAAGAAAACAAAGTAAAATGCAAATACAGTACACTCATTACTTACTTTAAAATATTTGTAATCTTAATGTAGGGTGAGAGGTGAGTAGCATTTATTGAAGAAAATTCAGAGGTGTGCTAGCTACCCATTAATTTGTTTTACTATGATTGCATATCTTTTGATTATATGATATGTAGCGTGTTTCTTATATAATTCTGAATAGAAAAGTCATAGATGGATTAATTAAAATGTCTATAATAATGTAATACACAACATTTAAAATGCTCCAAAGAGATTATTGTAATTTTTTTTTTTATTAACACATCGGCCGAAAGGGTAAGGGGGGGAAAAAGAAGTAAAAAGGGGAAAAAAAGAGGGGGGGGGGGGGGGGGAGGGGGGAGAAATAAGAAAGGGGGGGGGAGGGAAAAAAAAGAAAAAAGCGAGTCCCACCAAGGCAGGGTGGCCCGAAAAAGAAAAACATTATTATTATTATTATTATTATTATTATTGCTATTGACATACCTAGTTCACTGAGTTTAACAATGCTTAACTTTGAATGTGAAGTAATAGGCTTACGACTCCTCTATCAAAGCTAACCTTAGATGCCATTGTAAATGAAAGAATGAGTAAACGAGAGAATGAGTACAGTGGACCCCCGGTTAACGATATTTTTTCATTCCAGAAGTATGTTCAGGTGCCAGTACTGACCGAATTTGTTCCCATAAGGAATATTGTGAAGTAGATTAGTCAATTTCAGACCCCCAAACATACACGTACAAATGCACTTACATAAATACACTTACATAATTGGTCGCATTCGGAGGTGATCGTAATGCCGGGGTCCCCTGTAAATGGGACAGAACAAGACACTCTCAGTGACTTTAATGTACCTGCACACCAGCACAGTGTCTAAGTTTATTTAGGTACAGGTACACATAAGTACAATTATCAGAGTAGTATATATAAAATATGCAATAACTTTAAAGCACTTGAAACTTTGGAAAGTTTCAACATAAGTGAGAGA